CCCTTTTAAGCTGGACTCCGGTTCAATACACTAAAGATAATGGAATGCTGAAGCAGGCACCACAAGCACCAGTTGAAAAAGTGATAATACACTTTTGCAAGAAAGCATGCAATATTACAAAATTGTGAAGCTAGTTAATTACAGAATGCAGGGCCACTGTTTTGTTCATCATCAATGCCTCTCCAATTGGCCCAGTTCCAATGAGAGATTGGACATTTCCAAGAGCTTCAATTAGAATTAGTGTATTGTCTTCAACTTTAAAACCCTATCATCAAAAATCAATCATTCGTATTGTCAGAAATAGCTTTCCTGAGAATTTCCCTTAGCTTGTCTTCTCTCCTACATTTGGTAGCAATTCCCATTTCTTTGAGTATGGTTTTTAGCTCAGGGATGGTCATTGTGTCCACATCACCCTCAGTAATTGGTGGTTCATCATCTTGTGTTGAGGCAACACACAGTCGTGGTCTCTTTCTTCTTTGCTCAAAGATGTCAGCTTCCCAGTACTCATCTTTTTTTTGGTATACTGGTGTGGTTGCCTTTCGCCACCTTGAAGATGTTCATTTCTTTTCAGGGCTAGAATTGCCTCTTTGCATGCATCATGCTTGTTGCATTTGTTGTGGTATATGGAGTGTACAGTATCATTAATTTTTTCAACTCCTTGGCCTGTGAATGATTTAAAAAGGGGTCTCATCTCTGATGAATCGGGGTAGGTGGTAGGCCAATATATGAAAGTATGGGGTGACAGAAGCATTTTCATATTCAATGTCTTCTCCACCAAGTGATAGATACAATTTTATCCACTCTGTTGCCTGTTTAGAATTAAGTAACAACAAGTTAGTTTTTGTACAAACCTAGGAATTTTACTTAAAACCATAACTATGTTAGCAATTACTTGAAAGGAGTTAAAATGAGAAGAAAATTAAACTTACATCCTTAAAGAAGGAATCTATGCGATTTTGACTTGGCTTCCAAGCTGATAATGTTTGGTACACGTTGTCAAAACCCTATAAAAATAAAACAGTATTTTCATTATAAGAGGATTGCCAAAGTTTTTAGTTTGTAATTTATTAAGTTAAACATACA